CAAGACTTTCCTATCATCAGTAAACTGTAAAGATTTAGAGATTTTTCTCCCTAGGAGCTGGGACAAAGGTCAGACCGATCTTGGGATGGGGACGAGGATAGGTTGATAGCATCTTTTTTTTTTTTTTTTTTTTTGTTTTTGCTTGATTAAGTACTGTGCAGAAACAAGAGACACCTTGCTTGCCTCAGAAACAAGGTAGGAGAGAAGTAAATCCAGAAAGTTGTCCTCTAACACACATTACTGCATTCACACACATCAAACACACACACACACACACACACACACACACAAATATAAATATAAATAAAAATGGAAAAAAATAAAAATTTTAAATTAACATATAAAAGAAACCAGCTTGTAAAAAGGAAGGCTGGAAGTAGCCACCCCAGCAAGGTCAACATGTAACAGACAGGAAAGGAGTATGCTCTACAAATGAGCTATTATAAAGAAAGGTCCCAATCCACTGGGCATGGTCAGCCTTTCCCTGACTTCTACCCATCCCTTTACACATATATAGACATGGGCTCATTAAAGGTATTTCCTTTGGGCGCATGTTTAATATGCTGCTTTGAACCTAAAATTCAAATGGAATGATTGAGACCTCACATAATGTTCACAGTTAACTTTAAACACCTATGCAGTCCTGTTGCGGGAAGGTTCTAGTTTTACCTCAGCACCACAAAGCTCATTTCTATACTTGAGTTCTTAAGTACAGAAAGTAGGAGTGGTTTAAATGGCATAGTATATATATGTATATCTTTCTATAGCCTTATAAAACTGACTTGAGACCTGGAAGAAACGAACATATGTTTCTGCAACCTGGATTTTCCTGGGTAATTCAGTGAATTAAGTTTCAATAAATCAGAACAATAAACAAACTCAGATACATATGTTTTAATTACTTCTCTGTTGCTATGATAAAACACTGTGACCAAAAGCAACTTATAGAAGAAAGTTTAGTTTGGGTTACAGTTCCAGCGGCAAAGTCCATAATAGTGGGGGAGGTATTGGTAGCAGGTGACCACAGCAGGAAGCAGAGATCGCGGAAAGGAGAGAGAGTGAATGAAGGGGGGTAAGGCTATAAATTCTCAAAGCCAACCCCCAATAACATACTTCCTCCACCAAGGTGACACATTCAAAAAGTTCCATGGCCTCCCCAAACAGTGCCACCAGCTAGGCACAAGTATTCAAATGCATGTACGTATGGGGAACATTTCTCATTCAAACTTCCACATTCTACTCCGTGGCCCCCATGTGCTCAAGGCCATATCATCATGCAGAATATATTTAGTCCAGTTTTTTTTATCTTTTTTAGATAGGGTCTCCCTATAGCCCCAGCTTGCCTGGAACTCACTATGTAGTCCAGGCTGGCCTTGAATTCATAGCGATCTACCTGCCTCCGCCTCCCAAGTGCTGGGGCTAAACATGTGCACCACCATACCCAGCTCAATTTAGTCCAATTTTTAAAGTCCCCATATTCAACATTATTTAAAAGTTGAAAGTCTCTTTTGCAACTCAAGGCAGTTTCTTAACTGTGACCCCCTGTAAAATCAAAAAGCAAATTACATACTTCCATATATGGCACAAAACATTACCTTTCTCAAAGGGAAGAATTGGGGCATAGTGAGTAAATACAGGAGCAGAGCAAGACACAACAAGGCAAACTCATCCTGTAACCCTCTGTCTGGTGTCTAGGACTTTACTTCGAGAGGGCTTACATGGCTCAGTGCCTTGAGCTTTGCTGCCTGCAGCATATATCTCATAGGCTGGTCTGTTCACTGTATGTGACTCTCCTTGGTAATTGTCTCACAGCTGTGGCATCTCCAACATCTTAGGGTCTCCACTGCAACCCAGGCTTTACTTTAATTGCTTGATACAATTTCCTCTTGGGGCCTCCTAATGTTTCAGGGCCTTCTCACAGCAAATCCAGCACTGGTACAAGTTGCCTGGGTACAGCTACTCTTAAACTATTGAGAAAGAATCCAAGATCCCGTTCACTCTTATACCTTTGATGTCACCAAAGCCTGTACCGCATGGGCAACACTGTCACGTTTGGCTAGCAGCTTTTGACTACATTAGCTGTAGGCTTTTTTTTTTTTTAATGTGTATGAGTGTATTGCCTGCATGTATAAGTGACCCATGTCATGCAATGCCCATGGAGATCAAAGGGCATCAGATCCCCCAGAACTAGAGCTTGGATGGTTGTTAGCTGACATGTGGATGCTAGAAACTTAACCCGGGTCCTCTGCAAGAGCAGCCACTGCTCTTAACCTCTGAGCCATCTCTCCAGCTCCTAGCAGTAGCTTTTGTATGTCAAAACACTTGCTGTCTAAAAGCTGAAAACCCCTTAGGTTCCCTTTCTCAAGTTGAAAGATTAGCTTGGTGGGCTCTTGCCCAGAGGCATCTTTCCCACTGTTCCAGTGCAGAGCAGAAGACTTCCTTAATGACTCGACCTTCTTAACTGCAGCTTCTGTTTTAGCAAATGCTTTGGCTGTAACACTAAGCTTCCTAGTGAAATGAAATCTGAAGTTTAAGGACCCCATCAATGCTGCAATGGGGACAAAGCAGAAAGTATCTTGGCAAGGCAGATTTTACTTTGCAAAAGGGTGACCTGTGTGATCAGTCAGATCCAGCAAGTACCCATGGGACCCAGAAGCTTGGGAATCTTATTGCTAACACAACAGATCTTTGTCCTTCCAGGTTGCTGGGGGCAACAAAAAAATCAAGAGAAAACCCACAGAATGGGAAAAAAATCTTCACCAGGGACACATCTGACAGAGGTTTAACATCCAGAATATATAAAGAACTCAAAAAACAGAGAAAGAAAGTGACCCAATTAAATGATGGGCTAAGGAGCTGAACAGAGAGTTCTCAAAAGAATTTTTAAGATTCTAAGAAGAATCTTAAAAGGTGTTCATGTTCCAGGGCTGGAGAGATGGTTAAGAACACTGGCTGTTCTTGCAGAAGACCCAGGTTTGAATCCCAGCACCCACGTGGCAGCTGCCTGTAACTCCAGTTCCAGGGCATCTGACAGCCTCTTCTGTCCTCTGTGGGCCTTGCACAACCACATGGGTGCACTTAACCTACATGCAGGCAATACACGCAAACACATAAAATAAAAATAAAATATTTTTTTAAAAAGATTAGAAATCCTTGTCATAAACCCAAGTTTCAAGTTTTACAAAGTTTGAAAGAAAAGACTATTGTTTCTACCGTTTCTTACACTGATGTTCTTTTCCTCAATAAACTGTACATTTAGTATTTCTTTTGTTCTACTTGCTCTTTTTTTATTGTAGACCTGTATAAGATTAATCATTAATAACTATACCACAGACTTAACATTTTCTCCACCAAAGAAACTCATTCATTAATTTTTAATT